CGCAGACCAAGTGTGTTCAAGGTAATGTCACTAACACAGATACCAACTTTAGTAATAGACATTCCGGTTGACGTTCGAGGTTCTACTGCAGTCCTGTCAATCGTTTTGAAAAGGCCAGTTAAAGTGCAGATGGAAGCAGACAAAAGTATTTAACTACCGACTGACAGGAATATATGTTATTGTGAGGACGACAAACTGTTTGGTCTCTTTGTAACCAATGCAGTTTTATCAAGCAGAACACACTGCTAATATCCAGGGGCTACATCATCATTTCTTGATGGTTATTTAACTGTGTGTCCGTATTTGTTCGAAACACAGAATAGGAACACACATCAGAGCCACTTGGAAAAAGTAAACAAATGAAAAGCCCTAACCATGTGCTTTGAAGTCAGATGATCTGATCATATCATTGATTAATACTGCTCCGCAGGCTTTGAGTTTGACCATTAAGAACCAACCTGAAACCTGCAGAAGTTCAAAAGGTGTGAAATGATGATTACATCTTTTGTATCTCTTCGTTTTTCTGACTCGAAATTCGTATAAGATAATATTTATCTCTCTCTCTCTCTCATTGGTGCACTTTCTATATCATTTAAAATCACCTCAAGAGAGACAGCATTCCATATTCATACCGGGATTCCTTAAGTTTGAATATCATAGTGGACAACAAGCTGCTACGATTTTCAAAATAGCACATAAGTATGGAGGTGAATGATAAGACGAAAGCAAGTGGCAAAGTCAATTCAAAGTCATGCAGAAGAGTGTGCTGGTAGAATAGAAGTCATGGCAAATGTAGGTTGTTCAAGTGATATGGCTATAAAGTCCAGACAATGCAACACCCAAAGCACCCTTTCAAAGATCGACTTAAGGGCAACAGGACGAGGTATTTACATCGGAATGAAAATGAATCTGAAGAGGAAATGGTTACAAGAGAATGGGGAGGGGGGGTGGAAGTGAGAATTAGCTATGCTTTTAGGTGAATAAGAACAGTCTGAATGGATGGGTAACAGGTGCAGTTATGAAGTAGCAGAAGAGATATATAGCGTCATCTTACTGGATAAATATCATCACTTCATGGATTTATAAGAGGCTGATTGTGTCATTTTTACTTAATACGTGACCAGTCTTACCTAAATTAACGTGCACCAGTACGTTAAAGTACTCACGACTAATGCAAAAAGTGCTCAGAACAGCAGTTTATTTACTAATTTAAAGTAATAACCTTATTTAATGGGCAAACCTTAATCTTATCTTTCTTTGAATGGCTGAAGCACGAACTCAGTGTATTGCTGTTGATCTGCATGAAGTGGACACTAAGAATGGTAAGTGTCGATTTACAGATGTCTACTCGTTAAAATAACCTCGCATGGTTAACTACTTCACTAGTTACTAGCTGGTCCTAAGCCCGGGTAAAGAGGGAAGGTTGGGCATAGGACTAACAACCCTAAACCGTAAAACCAATCCAACCGTTACAGAAACTTCAAAGTACAGACAAAATATCAAAAATAAAAAGAAACCTATCCTTCCATATTAGATTTGTTGATTTGATTTATAACATACAGTGATGCAGTATTATTTACTTGATGACGACATTTCGAATACAAATTATTGCTCATTATCACATCAATGTAATCACACTGCTTCCGACATTTGATTTTTGTAGTTACGTCACTTTATATGAGTTGTTTTTATTGCTAGCAAAATTTTCCACATATCTGGTATAGGTGTTGTGTCATTTCCGTTCATGTGTTGTATGTTGATTCGATGAACAAAGATTCAGTAATCAATCTCTCTCTCCACCTAATTATATTGGACTTAAGTACAGTGGCAATAATTTGTGTTCAAAGTGTCGTCATCAAGTAAATAATACTGCATCACTGTGTGTTATAAATCAAATAAGCAAATCTAATCTGGAATTAATTTCTATCACAGTGCCCAAGTTTTACATCTATATAAAGCTATTCTTCGCTGAAATCAGAGACGAAATAACACCGATTGGTGAAAGCCTTCGGGAAGCCAATTGGCCGATGTATCTCCTCTCGATAAAGGCGAAAGTAAACATGGGGACATGGAATGTCCGCACTATGTTTGAATCTAGCAAGGCTGCCAAGATTGCAAACGAGATGAGAAGGTATAGCATTGAAGTGCTAGACTGTGGATCTGCGAAAGCAGGTTGAATGGAAATGGACTCTCCAAACTGTCAACTGGAGAGTCAGTAATCTACTCCGACATTGTCACCCAGACGACAACCACGAGCACAGCACACTGAGTTCTCGAGTAGCTATCATGATGTCCCCAACACCATCGAAGGCTCTCTCTCATACAGTGGGAACCAATCTCCTCCAGCATCAGGATCATAACAGCAAGGTTCAAATCAAAAGGAAGGAAAGCCACAATCATTCAATGCTGCGCCACACTAAACACCTACAAATAATGCAGACCAAGAGAAGAAGGAGGAATTCTACAGACAACTGTAATCAGTATTGGACAAGACTGCAGTTGGCGACATCAAAATTCTAATGGGTGGGGTGACTGCCAACTGGGAGCGGACAACACAGGAAGAGAACTCATCATGGATCGAGAGGCACTCAGCAAAAAACAATGAATGAGAATGGAGAACTGTTTGCAGATTTCTGTGCATTCAACGATTTGGTGATTGGAGGCAGTGTGTTCAAACACAAGGATATCCACAAAGTGACATGGATTTGATTTCACCAGACACCAGGACACTAAAGTTTACATCGACTTTATCTCAATATGGAGAAAGTGGAGACGCTACCCACAGGACACAAGATCAAGAAGGGGGGTAGATGTAGGTTCAGACCATTATCTAGTGCAAGGAACCTTCAAAATCAAGTTGAAAACCTTCAAGGATTTGGTCATACACCACAGTTCAAGTTCAACACTCTGAAAACTGAAGGACGAAACTACAAAGGACATCTTCATGTCAGCCATCAAGACAAAATGGGAGATATCGAAAAACATCCCTGAAGAAACCTGTGTGGATGAACACTGGAACTCTTTGAAAGCTATGTGAAAAGAAAGCTGCATAACCGTATTAGGAAGGAGGAAGGAAGAAGATAAGGAATGGATCTCGACGGACACATGGAAGCTGATAGAGGAGAGAAGGACGGTGAAGCAGAGGATGAACCGTTGCAGTGCAGTGGAGGGATGAACAACGAAAAGAGGAACTGAACACAACCTATAAAACAGTGGATAAAGAAGTGAAGAAGAGTGCACGCGAAGACAAAAGACACTTCCACGACACACTGGCAAGTGAAGCAGAACAGAATGCAGGTAATAGAGACAGAGACCTGACAACATTATATAGAATAACCATGTTACAAAGATAACATCAAGAACAGCAAGAATCAGGAGATGAAGAGGATCACGCCAACAGATTTGTTGTACACAAACTAAATTATCACATATACTTTCTGTGCATAGTCCCTTTCGATAGTGTTGCATTTTTGCTTCATGCCCTTTCCCATAGCTTATATAAGTTTAAAAAATAGCGATAGTGATACTAGAATAACTATAAACGCCTTCACATTTTATCAGGTTACAAAATTGTGTTTTACACATTAGGCACCATATCACAGTATTGCAGTTCATTAGTTGGATGAATTCGTCGTGGAGGTTCTACCATCATTCTTAATGTAATCCCCGCTGAGTACAAAATTCTGCAACAAATGAATTATCAGAATTTCGTTGAAGGTAATTTAATAGTTTGTCCTGATAGCTTAGGGAATGGTTAGTTATTTCTAAATTCAGTTGTCATGTATTTTGATTACATGTTCAGTTAACTTGAAACCTAATTATACTGTTCTGCATAATTTTCATTAGTTAATATCCTGACTGATCAAGCTGAGGACGAAGCTTCTAAAAAGGTACCTGACACTTTTTTCTCCTCTATCCAAGATTTCATTCAATCTGTATGCTCATTTACATGTAAAGATATCAGCGAAAATATATCGCGTAGCTAAAGTGGGACTTTACTATTGAGCCTTTCAGGTCATGACTGTCCAGTTGTGGGGTTGGCGTTTGTACGCAATCTGGTTAGTGGATGGTAACTAATGTAGCTGTCAAGTTCAATTGCTCAGCGATTAACTGGAGTCTATTGATCAACTTTGGTATTTGGTCGGTCACTCGTCAAAGTGATACCATACTGCAATGGACCTGAATAGATCGAGGGAAAAATCTTTGACTTCAGCAATGAGTGATATGGATTGCAGTCTCTGAAAGAGTATAAGTTTCTTCAAGATTGTAACCAAATCTTCCTGATGAGTGTCAACAAGCATGGCACCTTAGTTCACGCCTTCCTCGCGATTGAATACTAACATATTACACTAAAATAGAATACATCTCAGTGTCCCAACCGTTAGCTCCAGTCACTAATTTTCCAGGTTGGTCGACATATTTCGACCAGCGCTGAACATACCTTGATATATCCATGTATTATACACATAACTACATAAGAGTGGACTCTTGAACAATAACCTTAGGCTTTACCCCTGATGATCGCTCGCTTCCTCGAAAACAGGAAAGAAACTGCAAAAACGATTACGGTTATTGTTGAATCGAATATACACAAGAATAAACGGTTAATACACATTTGTTGATGGCTTTAGAAAGTTCTACACTTTTCCAGAGAGCCCTCTAACCAATCTCAGTCTCACACGTATGATGACATGGTTTTTCTCAAACGTTCAACATACTATGAAGGCTTTTCAGGGATTCCCAGGTTTCATATCACATTTCATCATCGTTAAACTCTCTCTCCCTCTCTGTTCTCTTACGCCTGCCTATGACCTTCGTTTACATTTTCTTTGTCATATTTTTTCTTTCATCTTGTTGCTCGGCACCGCATCCTGATGTGTTGACATAAAGTGTGGTAATTTAAACCGTTCATTATGGAGTAATGTCATGTCCCAAGTCCCATAATATTTGCTGACTAACTAACTGAATCAAATACCAATACATTTTATAAGACATCCTACTTAAGACAACAATAGTTGCTTATTTGAATTAATCATCAAGTTAACTATACAAAAAAAAGAATAATTTGTATCGTCAGATAAGGTGAGTGTTAACAACCAATGAAATCGACTATCATGCAAAGTTTGTTCACAATGTACACAAATGTATATACACTCAGAAAAAAAAGATAAGCATCAGGTATCTATTTTGAGATAAATTTAACATTTCTATACAATATTCACTCATCAAGTTTAAATTGTTTTTCTATTGATGTCCATATTTGTTTTTCTACAAAATTCTGCATTGTATTCAGTTCACTGACAGGAAAATAAGAACGCATTAAATTGATGTATGGATCACAGATACATTGAAATGTGTCACTTCTAAAAATAAGCATAGAAAAATAATAATTCACATAGAATTAGAGTAGACATATATATTTTTGAGACGTAAGAAAGTTATTTAATTTAGAAGTAGTATTCATCATGGATTGACATCAGTTGGGGAACTACTGAAAATTTGAGAGTACTGAACAGCTGTTTCATCCTAGTATGGGACTCCTTAACAGTACCCGGCTAGGGATTGAACTCAGGATTAGGGTGGCATTTGAACCTACAAACTCACTCAGAGATAAGCTTTGTCGCCTAAAGGATCCGACAGAACTAACTAAGTAAAGTAATCTAATCCATCAAATTTTATGTAATGACCATGAGGTCAAGTATATGGGTCAAACTAGTCGGTCAGGGTCAATTAAAATAGTGGAACATAGGAATTTGGCTAAATACTGAATGATAGACCCGAATAAGATCAATAATCTAGAAAGAAACACACAACCACACAATAAGGTGGGATAAAACCGCTATACACTTAAGTCCAATATAATTAGGTAGAGAGAGAGATTGATTACTGAATCTTTGTTCATCGAACCAACACACAACACATGAATCGAAATGACTCAACACCTGTACCAGAGATTTGGGAAATTTTACTACCAATAAAAAAAAGAACAAAAGGTCATAGGACTATGAAAATCAGATGTCAAAAGTAATGTGATTATATTGATATGATAATGAGCAATAATTTATGTTCGAGGTGTCGTCATCAAGTAAATAATACTGCATCACTGAGTGTTATAAATCGAATAAGCAAATCTAATATGTCCATATTCATGCAAAGTTAATCCCACAACTTTGAAACGTGCTTTATATAGTTCTAATTCTCTCTCCTTTGCGATATGGGCAGGAGAATTTACAGGCGCTGAATCATTCCCGTTGCACTTGTTTGGCGTTGTTTCGAAGAACAACTACTCGGTTATTAATCTATCCCTCCACCTAAGTTATTTTGAATATTGTCACTTCGTCCCATCTTATTGTGTAAATGAGGTTTTCTCTAGATTTCTTATCTTATTAAGATTTAACAATCCTGTTGTGCTTGGACAGCCCAATTGAGCCTGAATGACTGATTTGACCTATGTATCTATTTGACCTCATAATCATTGCATACAGTTAAGTAAACTAAGTTGGTTTACCTAGTTGAAAACAATAGGATCTCTTAACGTACAAAGCTTGTTTGTGAGTTTTTGGATTGAACGACACTCTAATCTCAGCCTTATCAAGAATGTTTCGTAAAGCTTAAGAGATGCCTTCTGAGGATGTTGAAACGTAAGAAGTTTTGAACTATCTCTTCACAGTGCCACCATGTAAGTCGTCCTTAATGTATCTCCGATCCTCTGTCCTACTAGTAACCTCTTTTACTCTGTTACTTAGACATTTTACTTAACCTATTTTAACTGACAAAGAGTGAGATTATTTGAACTCCAAGCGGGCATTTGAATGGAAAAGTATCGTATAGGTTCCAGTGAAAATGTAAGAGTATTTAGGAAAGAATGAGAAAACGTATATTTCAAGTTAGAATTAAATATCCATTAACAGTTGTTGTAACCTTGTCTCCACTTGTCATATTCTCGTAGTGACTAATTGATATAGCTTGAAAGCTTAAACAATGACCTTCGGATATCACCCTCTGATGGTCATTCAGCTTCTTAATAAATGGAAGAGGTGGTAGGATAACAAGAAGTGTATTGTAACGTCAAAAAATATATACAAAATGCAAGAGTTTATATAGATTTATGACTTAGTCGTTCTCAGTGGGGATTCAAAGATTGCACAGAAATTTGATATTTCTGCATTTCGATCGCCGTAACCCAGTCCCTCTTTTGGAATCAATGAAAAAGAATGACCTTCCTTACTAAAGGTTTATTCCTCATTCGTCTTTGATTTCTTTCTTCACTGATTTTGATAGTTTGTGCAATTTATTTCTCAGTTTTTCTAGCTTTCGGTTTTAATCAAACTATTTATGATTGTAGTTTCTCCATTCCTTATCAGTGTTCTCCCGATCGGTTCTAAATGTTTGATATTGAACAGTGATTACTTTGTTACATTTGTTAAGCCTGTTTTGTGTAATTGATATCATTAATCATACAAATTTGCTTACATTTTGTTTAGTAATCTTTTATCCAAAGTGATAGTAAATAAGTAATGCATATTTATGACTCACTAACAAGACATGTTCTCACAAATAATCATGTGAGGTTAAAAGTTAATCTTGAGTGGAAGCACTTTGATCAGGAAAGTCCTATCATTTCTGAGCACAAGGAAGTGTATCCTCATAATCCATTAACTTTTCAGGTTGGCAGATATCCTACTTAATCATTTATATAATTTAAAAAAAGCTTCACTTATGTATGAAGTGCTGATGACGTCGGTTAAACCAAACAGTTTTAAGTCTAGACTATGATAACTATCCGTCATCAAATTGATGATTATCCCTTGAATCGATAGATAAGCTTTTCTACGGAGTCGAATAGATCAAATCAAGATGGTAGAGAAGTAAAACTAATACGTCTCACCATAGAGGAGTTATTATTAAACAACAAAATATCTATTTATCTAAAATTTATATCAGATGGAAAAATGACAAATTTTCACTGATAAATATCCCAGCAGTAAGATGTAATGTTAAGTCCTAATTCAAATTAATATGTTCAAATAATGTCTTCAAGGTAACTAAAAGAATAAACCAAAGTTTTAACATGTTTAGTAACCTATATGAAATTAATTTTGTGGAAGAACATTGGAAGTCTTTGAAAGAGATGTGGAAAGAAACTTGCACAGCCGTATTGGGAAGGAAGAAGAAAGAAGATAAAGAATGGATCTTGATGGACACATGGAAGCTGATTGAGGAGAGAAGGATGGTGAAGCAGAAGATGAACCAGTGCAAGGATGCTCAACGACAAGAGGAACTGAGCACAGTGTATAAAACACTTCACTGGACAAAGAAGTGAAGAAGAGTGCGTGCAAAGACAAAAGATACTTCTACGAAACACTGACAAGGAAGCAGAACAGGCTGCAGGTAGGAGAGACAGAGACCTGACAACACTGTATCAAATAACCAGGTTACTATGTGGAAGGGAAGAGATCAACTCAGACGAAACCAATAAAAGATGATAGAAATTTAATTACGAAGGAAGAGGAACAAAAGAAACAATGGGCCGACCACTTCAAGAAGCTCTTGAATCAACCACCACCTGCACTTTATCCAGAAATACCACCTATAACTACAGAACTACAAGTGAACACAAGTCCTCCGACCAAAGTCGAAGTCCTGAACGCCATAAAGCTACTGAAATCTGGGAAAGCAGCAGGACCAGATGAAATCCCGCCAGGAGCACTGAGAACAGACGCAGAGACAACAGCGGACATGCTCACACCACACAACTATTGCAGAACGTGTGGAAGGAAGGGTAGGTATCTGGCCACTGATTGAAAGAAGGGCTACCTTGTCAAACTGCTGAAGAAGGGAGACCTCAGTGTTTGGAAGAACTGGCGCGGAATCACTCTACCGTCCACCCCAAGCAAAATATTAGGCCGCATCATTTTAGAGAGACTTAAGTATGCACTGGATTCAAAGCTACGACTGGAACAGGCCTGCTGGCTGGATTCAGGAAGTACAAATCATGTGCGGATCAAATTGCAACGCTACTCTACGCATCATCATAAAACAGAGTATAGAATGGCAGTCCACTGTACCGTACCTCATCTTCATCGAATTTGAGAAGGCCTTTGACAGCGCCGACCGAGAGGTAATTTGGAAACTACTTTAATATTACGGAATACCACAAACCTTTATCCGCCTCATTCAACAACTATATGAAGATGCCACATGCCAGCCAAGTAATTCACAATGGGAAGCTCAGTGACGCCAGTGAAGTGAAGGCAGGAGTGAAACAAGGTTGCCTACTATCCCCCATGATATTCCTGATTGTGGTAGACTGGACTGTATCATGCAACAAACAGTGGGGAGCGAGAAGAGGGGGATACGCTGGACTGCAGAAAAGAACCTAGAAGACCTGGAATTCGCCACTGATGACTTGTGTCTGATGTCACATAAACTTGAAGATCTACAGGCGAAAACTAACAAGTTGACAGAAGAGGCAGCGAAGACAGGACTTCAAGTGAATATAGAGAAGACAGAAGTGATGAAGATACCGCACCAACAACTCCAACAACAACAACAAACTCCAATCACCGTCAACGGGAGAAACTTAAAGGAAGTAACCTCCTTCACCTATCTAGGCAGCACTGTCTCAACTACAGGCGGCCCAAGCACAGACAAGGACGTCAAAGCCAGCCAGTATCGGAAAAGCCAGCAAGACAGGCGTTGATTAGCCTGAAACCAGTGTGGAGATCTACCCCACTACACTCAGCATAAAGCGTGAACAACATCCGGATTTTCAACACCAACGTCAGTCAAGTCAGTGCTTCTGTATAGTTCGGAGACTTGGCGCGTTACGAAAGGCATTTCCAATAAACTACAGACATTCATCAACAACTGCTTACGCTCGCTACTGGAGATCAGATGGCCAGAAAGAATAAGCAACAAGGAGCTCTGGGAACGAACCAACCAAGAACCTATCACGCAACAAATATGCAGGAGGAAGTGGAGATGGATTGGGCATACACTGAGAAGGCCGACTGGGGACATCACGGCGTCAGGCCAGTTGCTCGAATGGAACCTCCATGGGAAGCGATGAGTTGGACGTCCGAGGGTGACATGGAGGAGATGGTGCGAGGAGGAAATGAGAGCTTGTGGGCAGTCGTGGAGCCAGGTTCAAAAGATTTCAGAGAACAGAATTCACTGGAGACGTGCTACTGAAGCCCTATGTTCCATTAGGAACCCAAAGGACTAATAATAATAATAATATGAAATTAATCTAATAAACCATGAAGTCATAACTTGACGGAATTATCATTTATTATTATTAGAATACAAACGTGGTAAAGCAAAGACACTACGAAATGTACCGCACAAAATAATATAACAACATTATGAAGACATAAAGAGAAGGGAAGTAGATAAAAATAAAACACAAGAATAGAATGATGAGAACGGTAGTCCAGTGAGATACACTTAAAACAAAACATTCACTACTTTTCAGCAGCAGAAGATAGAAGAGAGCTGCAGCATGACCGCCACTGCTTTCAATTCTGAGCCATATCTGATAACGTTTCAAGCCACTGAGTTGTATGATCTCTCGGACCCCACCCAGAGAGTTGTGATGCTTCAACAGATGATAACGCGATACAACTATCTTTCATCCCACGGCGCCATGTCGTACATTAACCACCCCTCCACTTCTTCAATCCAATGAAAGGTATAGGAGCCGTTGGGACGACGTGCGTAACACATGTCCAAGCCATCGAAACTGGTGTTTCCAGATAACTTCAATCGCCATCATGTCCAGAGATACGCTGTCGTACCTCAAAATTACTTATGTGGTGTTGCCACTGGATACGAGCAATCCTACGGAGGCAACGATGATCGAACACGCAGAGTCGTCGCATATCCTCAGCTCAGAGAGGCCAGATTTCACAGGTATAGAACAGAACTGCGCGCACCGAGTGTTATAAACCCAACCTTTTACAGCCAGACCAGCGTCGCGACGGTGCTAAACGTGGTCCCAATTGATATATGAGGTTGGAAATTTCTCCACTCACACGACTACCCAGATAAACGAACTTTTCGACTACTTCCAACGTCTCACCACCAAGGGTGAGAGCAGGCACAGGCTCCTTCCGATCTTGCAAAAGTACTTTGCACTTCAATAGTACAAAGTACATACGATACTTACGGACACTAATCGATAGAAAGGATAATATGACAGGAACTTGCATCTAAAAGATTTTTCTTCTCCCGATAAAATGAATGAACTGTAATATGGATTTTCATGTGACGAAGCAATTTAACATGGTCTGTGTTAATTTAGTGGTGAACGTGTGTAGGAGACTGTGAAGTAACTGATAATTAGTTTTGCCCTAACACTACTGCTTGATTACTCCCACACATGAATAGTCAATCCATGATGTTAAGATAAGAAACTGCACTATTACTATTTTCATTACTTTTTTCTACCACAGAAAACACATGACTTAGAAAACCAAAAAAGTAAGAGGAATCAAGTGTTTATAGGAGATTTATCAAGGTATCAAAGTGAAAGCAGTTGATATCCTAGTAAAAGCTGATTTGTTTAATTTACTAAGTGGAAAAACAGGTAGTGTAGCAAAGCCTTGTGGTAATTAGCATTATTTGAGTCAGTGACATAGTATATAACGCTCTCAAGTCTAAAGTGACGATTGTTTGAGCTTTTGCTTAAGTGTGAGTCTCAGTAGGACATCAATAAGATATAGATAAACCTTTCTGAAATATCCAAAACGTAGATCATGAATTGTGTTAGGCATAACCGCAACATTCTCATAACGTATTTAATAATGGTAGTATATTTTATATAGTATGAATGAAACAATAGTTTGAAAGAGGTAACATAAACATCACAATATGAATTTCCATTTTATTAGTTGTGTATCACTCAAGATTATTTGCACCTACAACTATCATCCAGTATATAATACTGTTTCCCTGTGTGACACACATCTAATAAATAAACTAAGTTGGAATTACATCCTACAACACTGACAAAGTTTTACGCCTATATTAATTAAACAATATGAACTTACTCAGTTTCTGAATCTTTAAACAATGTGACACGAACAACAACATCATGAGTCTGTGTCATGAACAGAAAAGCTTCATAACATGGATCCATTAGTTTGGAAGAAGTTGTGACATGATATTTCGAAAATTTATTAGCCATTGGATGAATAGGTGGAATGTATTCAGGATGCATAAATAGAACAGAATTTCCTTGTACTAAAGGTTTACCTTCTACTCCATATTCTGAAAAATAATATTAAAATAATTGATGTTCAGCGATAAAAAAAGATAAATGCTTTCTTCAACGACAATATTAACCGAATAGCTTGGTACCCCCATCCTGTATCCATTCATTGAGAGAAATAATTCCTTATATATATCTTCTTCAGTACCTAAGATATATTAGTCACTTATCATCTGTACCTAGAATTGAATAGATAGATGGATAGATATACAAGACTTACTACAAAATATGCAGAAGCAGTGTGCTGACAACTAAATTTCTGAGCCATAAGGTGTTTGCATTCTAGCAACAGAATTATTCGATGCTCGATTTTTATTGGTTAGCCCTGTGTTTGTCATAACAAAATTAAATTCACGTGTGATTGGTCGAAAAGAAATTGATGAGACATTTTCTTACCTGTCTGTATATCCAGTGTGTACGATAAGCGATAAAATGAACAGAACAAGGCATGTACCAGCGAAGAAATATTTCTTTTCAACGACTGCATTATCAAGCTGTATAGTAGTATTTATACTGAGTAAAGTGACAGATAATTGCACTAAAAAATTGCTCAGTCAATATGTAAAATATACAATCGGTGTAGGTGGTGGTATTTGTTTAAGTGGAAGAGATAGAAAATGGGTCATTGAAAAAGGAACGACTTGATAACAAGTGGTGAGATAAGCGACAGCTGTTGTCAAAAAAGTGAAAAACGGTGATAATTAAGCTGAAACGTGTAAGATGAATGAATTGTTAAGGCCAAGGTAGAGAAAGTGGTTCCACAGAACGTTTTTGAATGCAAAGTTTCGGTTTCTGTTCATGTAAAGCTAATGCTTCAGCTATGCATAATTGGTGGAAACGTAAACCTTTGGAGTAGTTCAATTTAACTTTGCAAATTATTTTGAAGGATGAATCTCGAGGTGCTGAGTGTCCAAATTCAACAAGGTGTTCACACATGGATGAAGTCGTTTTCCTTTGCTCGGCTCTGGTAAGCCAAACCTGGTAGTAATCAGCAACACGTTTTCGAAGTGTCCGCTTACAACGTCCAATATAGTCAGCTCCATAGGAGCATGTGAACTCGTAGATACATATAGAAGAGGACATACGTGGAAGCCTATCCTTCACTCATTGACGGATCAGACGGCAGATGGAGAATATCAATCTCAGTCTAGCAGCATAGAAGGTACTATTGACACATCTTGACAGACGATTTTTCAGCACTTCGGCTGTGGTGTCTCCTTCGAATTCTAGATTCATAGTTCAAAGTTTCTTAGGGACTGTAATGGGATGAACAGAGGCTGTTAACTGACCTCAATATCCTAAAGACCATTAAACATGCAGAGAACGCATGATCGTTTGTCACGCATTCAATTACTTCTATGATTATATAATCCTTTTCCTTATTGAAAATAACGTTACTGAGCGTACTGATCTCTCTATTGACCATCATTGTGAACATCTCTTCGTATGTCTACAAACTAAAAATCAGCATCGAAAAAGAACACTAACCAATTACTAATCTTCTATATTGGACAAGCGAGCTTGCTCATTTTAGTGATACTTGATTACGGTAACTAAAAACTGTCTCGTAGCCCAGTTGGTAGATCACCAGACCGGTGATGTGAATCTTGCCGCTAACCAATTTTTCATTTCACCTTCGGATATCACCCAGCATCAAAAAAACTGTACATTTATTTGGGGGTTTATGTGGATATTCATTTATTTCAAAGTAGCATTCATGATGAACTGATATCAGTTGGAGAACTATTGAAAACCTGAGGGTGTTGGATAGCTGTTTCATCCTATTATAGAACTCCTCAGCAGTACGCATCAAAGACCCCACCCCCCCACCAGAGATCGAAGTTCCCACTAATTATTTATAAGTACTCAACATACAGATGAATAATTACAAACCTATGGCTTATCTCAAGAACTAACAATGTAGATCTATAGGTATACATGTCTATAGACTTGAGACTACTTGAGTGAATTAATACAGTTGTATTGAAGATTCTGATTTCATACTTCCTCCAAATATAAAATAACAATTGTAAAATGTCTTCTTTTTGTGTGAATTTGAATGTACAAATTCTAGCTCTTAATTTCACTTTCGAACAGTACAGTATGATCATAGTTATCATCAGAAAATAAATTCAGACAGATAGACTACCGCAATCTCGACACATTAAGTGATTAAATTGTAAATCTCTTAACCTTACAGTAATCCTTCTATTATTGAAGCAGTGGCTAAATATATCATGGCTATAACATTTTTACGACAATATGAGTGTCATGTTAAGTATAATCTCTAGGAAACTGCATACTATAAAAAAAAATGTGCAGCTTAACCTTCAAAAATTGAATAGCTAAGAACATCCATCTAAAAGAACCTAACTACAAACATCTGAAAATTGCTTTTATGAGAAACAACTCTACAACAACAAAAGATAATGAAAGCAGGTTATTAAACTATTTTGAATGCACTCACGAATAGAATCAACAAAGAGGGATTATTTTCATAAATATCTTTAACGACGGTATCATATAAAAACTCTTATACTAAAAACTATACCCGTCGCACAAGAAGTGGCTATCATGGCTCGGTGATGTAGTGGATAACGCTCTGGCGTTTGAAGCGATCGCTTCCGAGTCCGAATCCCGGTGGGAACAACATCCATTACTCACTGGGAAGCAGGTGCATCCAGCTGATGAGTCCCAAATAGGATGAAGTGCGCATCCTGGATTCCACTGCTAGCCACTACCCATCATTAATATCTTCCTAGTTTGTCAAACCACGGCTATCTCAGATAGTCAAAATGATAATAAATATGATGGTCCCCCTCTCTAATTCACTTAGATTTCGGTTGGGATGCGAAGTCTTGACTAGGCAGCTAGTAGGAATACGATCAGGCGGTAGTAATGCATCACGAATTCACATAGTAGTCGGATAAAAAAACCCTTGGTAATTGAAGTGAAATAAAAATCTGGTCAGTAGTCGGGTCTCGAAGCACAGTTGGTAGAGCATCGAGCCGAAAACGCGGTGGTCGCTGGTTCGAATCCAGCCGCGGTCCAAATTCTCATTTCACTTTAAATCATAACCCATTATCTTCCTTTCACCTAAAACCTTTCATACTTCATGATGGTATTCACTACGGACGAACATCAGCTGGATAAACACTGAAAACTTGGTAACACATCCAAGCTGTTTTGTCCTAGTATGAAACTCTTCTGGGGGTGTGGTGGATGCACACTGCTGACGTGTCCCAAACTGCGAAAAATCAGTTGTCCAGTGCTCCCACGTTTTTAATGGTTATCTATCTGATATTCATCTGCAGTGAGTACCACCATGATGTATGAATGGTTTTAGATGAAAAGAAGATATTTATGAAAATATTCCCTTTTTCTTAATTCAACATATATCCCGTTATAATTAACCAATAATACTTGGGATTTTAGAATGGTAACTATACAACGTTAGAATCCTTTTTAGACGCATAAGTGAGTTGAAATTGTGTTCAAGTTGTGAAAAAAAAGTAAGCAACCGTGAAAATGAAGGAAGGTAAGATTAGAAGAACATACGAATTGACCTGGAGAAATCTAGTGATTTCAACTATTCAAAATTCATACATAAATAATAACAACTAAATTGTAAAGCAAGAAAATAACATGAATATTTTAATAACTCTAGCCTACTCTTCTTAAAGATATTTCTGGATATCAATTAACAAAATGGGGTGTAACAAAAGTAAATCAAAAATGCTAACCAACATACAGAAAAGATATGACAGATGGCAGAAATATACAATCCAGAAAAAGCATAGGAAATCAATTTTGAAACGTTCTACTGTTGATGCCTTATTACAATACATCAATAGCTGTAAGACAATCATCAAAGATAAAAAATTATTGGACTACTTAATTTTAAAAAAGCACTTCTAAGTAGTCTGTATCCAAAACTATTCTACCTCTTTCTTGGAATCGAGCTCAGAAAGCTAAGCCTGTATTATGACCACTGTGTTAAAACTTGAAACAACTGATCTCATTCTCAATAGCCAACAGTCTCAACTGGTCACCTTAGTGAAAATATCAATTAATTAAACTCAAATGAGATGTTAGGAGATAAATATTCTCCATGGGAAATCTTATTCATCTCTATGACGGTTATACATACAGACTAGTACAAAGCTTTTGAATAGGATAGAACAGCTGTCTAGAACGATCTACCCCTCATTATTGTTTCTTACTACTGATAGAGACTTATAGTACGAACAAATGTCAAATTTACCTCGAAAGCCTACTGCATAGGTCTGAAATGATTAACATGAGATATGGTAGAGGTTTAGAATCAATTTATTACCATATACATATATAATGGTATTTATATACGTGACAAAAAGAAATAAAAGAGGACGTTTTCAGTGATTTAGTACTTTTGTTCGCTGCTGCTGCTTCTTTGAATAAAGGGAGCACAATAAAGTCGATTACCATATGAAATTAAGTGCTATTCTTAAAATTCAGAATGTAAAATGATGACGAACAGATAGAAAAATCAATGTAATGCCTTGAATGAAAGAGTAGAAACTTAATTTGACAAACTTTATAGGGGTACACAAACAAGTATTAAACACAAGCAGAGTGATATTAAAACAAGCAGTGTATGAGAAGTGTACAAAGCAATAAATGATTCAATTAATAAAAAAAATATCCAAAACTAAAAGATGATCACTGTGATTAAGTTCGAATTATATAACTTGCAATCCTCAACCATTGAATACTACCATCTTGAGGACCCCAGCCAGATATTTCAAATTCCTCTACATGACTTACGTCAACAGTCAAGGACATTATGGATGATAATCATGTTTTGCTCTGGTTACTCTTAACAGTCTTTTAACCCGTTTATGTGCGTTGAGGTAGACGATGAATCGATATACGTGACATAGGTTAACGCCACCTCAATCGACGAAGCTTCACAGCTTAGTCCAGTTGATCTCCAATTTGATGGTCCCATTACATATCAACAATCCTACGGAGATACATATAGCCAAAAAAAGTAGTCTCTTTATACCTTCTACCTTGAACGGCCATATCTCATAATAGTAGGATAGCAGTGCGCACTGTTGAGGAGTCCCATACTAGGACGAAACAGCTGTTCAGTGCTCCCAGGTTTCTTTTATTCCCCCAACTGATGTCAGTCTACGATGAATAACAACTTGAAATATTTCCAAATCTCCACAACTCCCTCAGAATTCAAAGATATAATGAGTTAATTGCTGCATAAATTGAGTCATGATAGATAGAACAAAATACTTACTTGGATTTGTTTGAATAGTCTTCCACACTGAATGCCAAGGTTCATAAAAAATCGATGAAGGTAGTGGAGTAGAAACCACAAGAAATTTAGACTTACAAAGTGCTATAAAATTAAGTGAAGATAAGGGAAGAAAAGTAATCTCAATGCATAGTTAATATTGGTTACAAATAGAAACC